TTCCTTAAATTACATGTAGCACCAGAAAGAAGAGATGAACAATTAAGCATATATATTTTATTCTGAAGAATAGCAATTAAATTAATTCTATAGCAGGTTAACAACAACTGGATTATTTGCCCTTTCTCACTATAACCTTAGAGTATTTTGTTCATTGTCATAATTTGGTACCACTAATCCCAGGTAACCATATGGCCAAAGGGTCAGATAAGAAACTGAGGATGAAATAGCATAAATTATTGAACAGTGTTAGAAAACAACTCAAAAGTGTTAATGAGGTTGTCATTACACTTGTGTTAATGAAAGACAGTGTAGTTATTACATAATGACTAACATATTCTCAAATGTAGAATAATTCAGTTGGGCAGCTAACTCCTCAAGAGACCAACTGCTGTATGTAGGTAAAGTCTGTCTAGCGAAGGCAGAATACTTTCAGGAACTCACCTACCTGTGATTGCTATAGATATTAATACTGGAGCTTTAGAAGCCCTTGTAATGAATCAGTGTCCAGGCCAATAATATTGTGAATTACTGTTTTTTGGTTTTTGTTTTTTTTTTTAATAGAAAACTACCACAGATGTGGACAAAAATGGTCTCATGAAATCATTGTCAGCAGCTCAGTATGTTCTTTAGATTGCTATTTAACAGGTTTGGCATTTTAGCGGATATGCTTATCTTGTGTAAGGTACCACCTTTTACTGTGATTGGTGGTGTTGGGTTGTATTTATCTACATTATTAGAACGAACTTTGCTGTTTTATTTAAACGCCTACAGCACCTGGTATTCCTAGGTGGTCTCCCATCCAAATACTAACCAGGCCCAAACCTACTTAGCTTCCAAGATCAGACAAGATAGGGCACGTTCAAGGTGGCATGGTCGTAGTGCTGTTTCTTTTAAATTATCCTTCATAGAGTGAATGAATGGGAGTTCATACCACAAGAATTGCTTTCAATTTGAATGAAAAATTTCTGTACATTGGGAAAGAAAATTCTAATATCTTTGTATCTTGATTTATATAAAACTATTTCAGAGGAGTTAAATATCAATTTCTTGTAAATCTAGTAATTTTGAATGCACTGGCAGTGTTGGCTCTCTTTAAAGGAGCATGCAATGAGTCCTACTGAGAATATAAATACCCTTAGTAATCTTGATTAATTGTGAGGCAATGAGGAGTAGAGTCTCTCTCTGCCTCTTATTTCAGTTATATTAACTTTTCAAAGCCTTCGTTTTCTAATCTCTAAAAAGAAGATGATAACCAATGAGTTCTCACTAATTCCTTAGAGAAAAAAATTACATAGTTTGAATTTAGAGTTGATTTCATGACATTCTTAAGGGAACTATTCAAGTCGTTTGATAAATTTAATAAGATACCCTAATTGAGACCTTCGACTATACATTTTTCTCAGTTTCTTCTTTTTTTTGAAATTCGATGTTTACCTTATCTTTTTATACTTTCCCTAAATTTTCTCTTTTTCTCCTTTCATTCCTCTTTTATTTTCTGCTGCTTCTCTTCCAGCTCTTTCTCTAATTTCACCTATACCTTATTCAAAAGAAGCAGAGATGTTAGTGATAGAACCACTTGCTAACTGTCTTTCTATTAAATGAGACTTTGGAAATACCTTCTACTTTGGCCACCATTGCTTTTCTTCAAAGGTCAAGTCCCCCTTTTGTTTCAAAATAGCTGAACAAGTCGAATTTGTGCATAGAGTTCCTACTATACGAATCCACAGAATTCAGCAACCAGTATGCTCACAAAATGAGATTGCTATAAATATGAATTTAGCACCTAACTTGGAATAATCATGTCTTTTCTGTTATGTGATAGATTATACTGCTTTTCTCAAAAGGAAGTCTTTAAAATGTGTTTTTATTAATTATTCTTTTTTACTTTGTCTTTTTTTTGGGGGGGGGTGGCTTTTTGTTTTTGAAGGCAGATGTTTTGAGCTATTTTAGGTTTATGTTATCTAAATATTATTTATTGATTTATAATAATATTTGTACTGCCTACTTTTAAGGAGCATATTGCTCATGTTTTTTAGCTGTTTCTGCTTTTCCATTGTAAAGAAGTATTCTTTTGACAGAAGACCTATAATGTTATAATGCTCATATCCGGGTCTTCCTAAGATGATGTATTTGGTATCCATGTGCTTGGTCCTTACAGCGATACAGAGGTCAGTTGAAACATTCCTAATTACATTGTGGGATTGATTCTAGCCCCTCAGGTAAAAAAAAAGAAAATTATTTATCTTTTAATTTTGATATTATTTTCAGTTGATACAAATTTAGTTACATTAAGTTTTATTTTAAACTGGCATTCAATAAATTGTGCAAATAGGAAAGATCTCTGAAACCATGCATTATTTGGAAAACTATTGCAGTATAATAATGACTGCTTCTTTCTGTGAAGTATACTATATAGGAGAAAAACTCCAAAGCTATATAGTATTGCAGTTTTATTCTTTATATCTAAAAAAATATAATAAAATATTAGACTTGAGACCCAACTGTGCAAATTGCATTTGCTTTCCAGCTTTTACTACCTCTGTGTCATAATTTTAACACATAACATACAACTCCTGTCTCTTAAGGCAGTTACCATATGGTGTTTATGTCAGACTGGATATATTTATCTAATTTTGTGAGTTTCTTTTTTAGGTCCCAACACAGTTCTTGAAAGTAATACTGCTGTTGTTAAACTTTCTCCTTACAATTTTTATGTTGTTGAGATGTATCAGTTACATATTATAATCATGAAAGTCTCTTGGACTCAGACTCAAATTTTCTTTGTGGCCAGGAAAGATTTTTCACAAAAACTACGTAGTTATAGCTGTGACTGTATAGATCTTTAATTTGTTTTACAGTTACCACTCAGCTTGACTCTAGTTTTTAATTGTTCCAGCAGTGCTAGTTTTCTCGGTATAACTTAAAAGCATAACCACTTGGAGAATATACTTTCAGATATGATAGGTGATTCACTTTTTCTCTAATAGACTTTGTTTGCTTTCTCATCCCCACTAGGTTCAACACATTAGTGACATCCTACATCATTGCCTCTGTTTAAAAGACTTCATAAGTAATAATTTAAATATGTTTAGGATGGCTTACATGTGTGGTCAATTTGGGAAAACTTTATAAGAGTATAACAATGTGTTTTTGAGAGCTGTGTTGAAACTTAATATATAAAATTAAAAAATAAAAGAATATAGTCAAAAGGAAATTACGAAATATCTTAGCACTTTTGAAGGAAAGCAGATTTAGGACTTTGTTTAAAAATTCTAGGTCAAGTAAAAAAAACAATCCTCATATGGATTAGACTCTTAATCATTTGTTTTACAAGCATTCCTATTTTTAATTTAGCGTGGCTAATTTTGAGACTACCTATAGCAATGCTAGACCATCCCTCCACCTCTCAAAGAAAAATAGTTTGTTTTAAAGTTTCTTTTTTGAGAGACTGAATTGTGTAAAAATGTATAATACCGAAAAATTCCTGCTTAATATGTATAGGTGTAGTTATAATAATTTTCTTAATTTCTAATTTTAATCATAATTTCTGGAGTACCTAGTGTCAGCCAGGGCTTTACCTATGTTATTCCTATAAAGAATAAAATCCTCACAGCAATCCTGAAAGGAAGGTATTATTATACCCAGTTTACAGAGGAGGAAGTCAGGGTTTAGAGGTTGAAGTGACTTGCCTAGAGTCACATAGCTAAAGTCTGTGAATTAGCATGTCTTACTTTCAAAAGCAGTTTTCTCCACTGCAACATGTTAGTGTCATATTTTACAAAAAAGATTCCCACTCCATTAAAATCCAAGCCTTACTAAAATAAAGTGAAAATACTTTTTACACAAGTACTCTTTCCATGAATAGGCATTGGGACAAATACACATACCAAAGAACTTCAAATACTGTGGAAAAAAAAGTTTTGTCTATGACTATGACCTCCAGAGCTGCATTGTGTTTTTATTAATCCAAGACAGTTTGAAATAGTTTACTGATTTGTAGTTCGTTATAAGAGGTTATATTATAAGCAATAGCATAATAGTTAAGAGCCCAGTCTTGAGCCAGGCTTCCTAAATTCAAATTCCAGCTCTGTTATTTACTAGATGTGTGACCTGGGGCAAAATTAGTTCACCTGTTTTGGTTTCCTCACGTAAAATGGAGTTAGTAGTGTTTAACTCAGAGTTCTTTATTAGGACTTAAAAAGGAGTGTTACAAAGCATTGGCCCTGGCACATGGTTATTGCTGGGTGGGCGTTATATAAATAAAATGTTTTGCCTTTTACTGGACAAGCACTGCATATTAAGAATCTACTATGTACTCAACTGTGTCTTTGCTGTATGTGGAAGAAGTCATTAGAGGCTCTTAGGTTTTTATAGCTAGTTGAATAAACCACATACATGAAATAATACTAAATTCAAGACTATATAATTAAGTACTCATGTCGACATTTTAGCTCCTTTTATGTGTTAGGCATTGGGTTAGTCTCTACCCTCGTGGAGTTTACAGTTTTTCAAGGAATATAGACCTTAAATGTGCAAAGTACTGTGGAAGACAAGTACAGAATAATAAGGGATCATAAAATAAAAATCCTTAACCTAATCCTCTACAGTTCAGGTTATTATTACTATTAGTATTAAGAAGGAAAATCAGTAAAAAAAAAAAAAGGAAAGGCTCAATGGTGGATACGGAACTTACAATGGGCCTTGATGGCTAGGTAGATTTGGATGGTTCCAAAGGATATCGGAGGGTATTTCAGGTAAAGACAACGTGAGCAAGGCATATCTGAAATATGAGGAAACTGATAGTATATTTTGGTATGTTGTGTGAAACAAAGTTGAGGGTGAGAGATTGAAGCTCATTGATGAAATTCCTTGAAAACCAAGTAGAGTAGTTTAGATTTGAGATGGCAGAAGTTTGGATTTTTTTAGAAGCAAATTATGAAACTAAGGAAGATAAACTTGCCGTTATAAGCAGGATAGAGTGGAGGAAAAAAAAAGCTAACAGAGGAAGCTGTTGCAATTTTCCTGCTGTGAGGTCATGAAGAATTGATTAGATGAGGATGGTCACATTTGGAAAAGGTGCTTAATTTCTGGATATTATGGGTGGAGGAAAATTTTAAAGAGTTGATAACAGCATATCGTATCTGGATGATGAATACATTGTTGTCAGCACTGTCAAAAAAGATTAATTGTGGAAATGAATCTTTGTACAATTAGTATAATGAGTAAATTTAGTTGGAAACTTTATTGATGTATCTGTATGCTGTAGACTGAACAACTGTTTAAAGACCATTTGAAAATCTGTACTATTGTGACAAGTGTCATTTGCTATGGTGCAGGATAATGTGGTCCACTGTACAGTGAAGGAGCAGTGAGGGGTGGTGCCCTAGTAACCCAATCATTGTTTATCAGGACAGGGTTGTGTGAATCATAATGAAACTACTAGCGAAGTTTCTGTGGACTTTCTGATAAGCATCATTCTGATGCATGGTCGAATTTATGCTTTGTCAAATAAAGCATTTAATTACCAGTATCTTCCACTTACACACAAAAATAATACATATTGTTAATTGGAAATAGTTCAGATTGGACATCCCAGGCAAACTACCTTTAACAGTTGCTTTAAAATGAGAATAAGCATAACGTTGAGATCTGCTGGTGGGCATGTTTTTTTCCTCCCTTGAATTTGCATATTATGTATTTTGAAACGTCAGAGAGGATGCTTTTTAATTTGAAAACTTGTTCTTCAACAAATGGTGTTTCATCACCAATACCATATAGGATAGAAACAAAAAAAAAGTTATGTAATCTTTAATTTGCAACAAGTTTCTTGGCCGAGAGTATGTTATTAAAAATTTTATTGTGTTGGTTTAAGGGGGAAAACCTTACTTTTCCAAAAAAGGAAATAAATACCCATGGATGCCCCTTATGCGTTGTTGCCACATTTCGAAGTCTGGACCTTAGCCCTATGGCTTCCATAAAAAAATCAAAGTCTCTGCACACAGTCAGTCCCAAGTTTGAACTCTCTCCAATTCCTCCATTCCTTCCTTTTGTTGTATGTAGTGTGGGTGTTCAGGAGAATGATGACTAATAGGATTTGCCAGATTTAGCAGATAAAAACATAGGACGTCCAGTTAAATTTGAAGTTCAGATAACTGTGGGTTTTTTTTTTTTTTTTTTAGTAGAGGACATATATACTAAAAAATTATTCGTTGATCTGAAATTCGAACTTAACTCGACGTTCTGTATTTTATCTGACAAGCCCTGCTTACTTTTTCTTTAAAACGATTTGTAAACTTACTCCAAAAAATTCCTAAATGGGAGAAAAAAGTAACTCGTCTGGGCTGGCAGCAGACAAGACTCAGGGAAGTCGGCCCTTCTCCCAAACTTGGCCTTTAAGAAAAAGGAAAAAAAAAAAAAACCCAGAAAACCCACAAGTCCCGGGAGCCTGCGCATTAAAGCGAGCTGTGCAGCAGCTTTCCCGCCGGTTTTCTGCGGAATGTAGCTCGGTGGCCACGCTGGGGGGTGGAGTGCAAATGGCTGTGTCCTAGCCGGATAGGAAAGGAGGTGCCGGAAACTTTAAACCCCAGACAAGACTACAACGTGTCTACTTAGACGGCGGTGAGTGCCGCCATTTTCTTTGCGGGCAAAGACCGGGAGAAGTTAAGGGCTCCACTTTGCTCCGTTAAGCGGATTGGGAGTCAGAGCCCGCGGCCTCACCACCTTGGTGACGTGTTATCGATTCTCCCCCTCCGTTTGGGGGCTGATTTCTAGTGACTCGTTGAAGCTTGCCAAGGCGGGGAAAGCGGACGCCGCCTCTGTCCCGGATGTAAGATGGCGGCGCTGGGGGGGCGGCCTGGCGGGGCAGTCACGTGTTGGGGAGTAGCGCGCGAGCCTCCTTAAGTGATCTCTATGGTTCGTCCGGGCGCACAGGAGCAGCGGAGCGCGAAACGGGTTGTGTGTCCTCGCGCGCGCGGAGCTGCCGCCGCAGCTACTCATCCCGCCGCCCGGTCCGATTTCAGTTTTCCGGGGTTTTTGTTTTATTCTCGCCTCCTGCAGAGGTGTACCGGATTGCCCTGCAGGGTCCTGGGGAACATGTGGCTGGGGACACCTGGGCTGTGCCTGCGTTTCTTATCGCAGCGCCGGAGCCGGTGTCCGCCTTCGGGAAGCGCCCCGGTCGTTCATCCGCGCGAAG